AATACATGAACGAGTAGTTTGGGTAATTAAAATTACACTTCCCCGGAAGAGGAGAAAAATGTGGGATAGATTCAGGTTACTGAGGTCTGATGAGACACAATCTCGGTATTCAAAGGCTCGAAATACCTGTGAATAGACCCTACGTAAGTCCAGAAGGTTGTACGAATAGAATATTGTTAAGGAATCCATAGAATGTCCTAAACGCTTGTATTCGGATATCAACCAAAGGACAAAAAGAAAAGAAAATATTCCAGCACTATTGGGAGACAATAATGCATCACCATTAGTGGAGGATGACCTTGGTAAAGCTCAAGTATTACCAAACTATTTTAGTAATGTATATACCTTAGGAACGTCTTCTAAAACAGTGAGGACACTTCGGAAATTTCGCAAGGACCAGAACAAATTACTTGTCGGTTGACCATCGACTTTCCCATCGAGTCATCAGCGAGTGGGACTCATCACCTCTGCACGTGGTTGAGGCTCCATCCGCCTACCCTTTCAAAAGAAAGTGTGATCGACTGCGACACCATCATTGCCAGGACTAACACAGGTCATCAAGACTCTTGTCCTTTCCTAACTGAGACTGGAACATAGTCATCAAGTCATCGATGTGTGATCCCAAGAGACTTTAATGAACATAAGGTTAACTATGGAAATCTGGCGGTTACGTGATCAGGAAGTTCTTTCGAACAGAAACTAGCTGGCGAATTAATCACATATATCCTCGTGCAACATATTAAAAAACCTTCAGAGAGGACCGGGACTCCAAATCATTTAAAGACGCTACCAATAATCAGTGTTTGACAATGCCTTTACCAGTAACACCTTTTCTGTCTAAGTATGCCAACCCAATCAAATCAGGAGACAGAATTGAAGGAGTTCGAAGATATTCTTAATGTTCTATGGATATACTGGGAAGTGTTTAATCTGAGCTGGCTAACAATTGTAGGAAGTATGTAACACTCCGTATATCATAGGTAAAAGAGGAAAAAGAACTTGATAAATCATTGTAAGATACTATGCTTAGTCTTTAAAAATATGTCAAGTTTCCTCTAAAACGACTCATGGGAAATCGCTTGGACTTCGTCAACCGGCAGCGAATTCCAGCATTTGACAACTAACGAGTATAAAGTTGTGTCTACAGTCAGTTCTGCTGTGTTGTGTCTCTACTTCCTGGGCGTTACCCCTTAGGTTTGTGTTAGAGCTAGACTTATGTAGGTGTTTAAGAGAATGTCCAGAAGTGTCAAGGATACTGCAAGCCATTAGAAGGTCACCTCTAAGATGCGTGTACTCTGATGGGTGAAGGTTTGATGGTTGAAGACACTCTTCATCCTCCCAACTTTAAGGTCGAGTCAGGTTCTCGTGATGTTCCAGTTCATCCTCTTGATTACGTACCTCTCTCCAAATTTTCACGTCATCAGCAAAAAGTAATAAGTCAGTCGATATCTGTCGTGGAAGATCGTTTATACAAACCAAGGAAAGAAGAGGTTCTAGTACTGAACCCAGTGGAATCCCACTAAGACATTCCATAGCCCACGAGAAACTGAAGTTAACCCCGACCTTAAAATGTCGAGTTTTTGGATGTGGAGTGAGCTAGTCAATTAGAGGTGATTTTATACCTAGTCCTTTGAGCTTATCGATAAGACATATATGGTTGATCTTACCAAAATCTTTTGCGAAGTCAAGGTAAGTTGCGTCAACCTTCCCTTTGTGATCAAGGATGGTTGTTCATCTGTCCACCGCGGTGAGCAGGTTGGTTATACTTGAGTGACGTTTTCTGAAAACGTGCTATTGGGGTGGTAACAAGTTCAAGGATAAGAATTAATTGTGTGTACCGTCACATACCAGGGACTCCCTAATTTTCGGAGGTATAGAGAGAAGAGCCAGCAGTTGGTAGCTTGAAGGTTCTCTTCGTTGAACTCCTTTAAAAATCTGTGTGGTGTAAGCCAGTTTCCAAATTTCTGGCAATGTGCCTTGGCTTAGCGTGTGTGAGCATATCGCGCTAAGAGGTGTTTTAGGGTTGAACCGCTTCCCCCATTATAGCAGAATATACCATATCCAAACCAAGGGAAGTGTCTTTTTAGGTGATGCGGTTTCCGGTGCGCTAAGTCAGCGCTCAGGTTCACTTTTGAAATACCTGTGCAGTTACATATGAAGCTTTCATTATTACAGTTACTAGAGTCGGTTGAAATGTTCATGAATACTCTCGAGCCAGAAGACTAGCGGTATCGCCGCTGTTATTGGTCGGGCCATTATGGCCTAACAGTTGGGAAACTTCAGTTTTCGCTTGTCGAAGAGAGGCTGCATAAGGGAACAAGCTTTTCGGATTAGAGACAAATTTATCGATGAGCTGTATCCAGCACTGAAACCTGTCTTCTCTTATTGCCTTTGTGCATATGTTCGTTATATTTTTGTATTGCATGTACGCGCCGTTGTCACCAGTTCGTTTGTTGTCCGCCCATCAGTGCCTTTTGCGGCTTCTCATACGATGAGTGCGGTTCTTGATGGCTGTAGGTTGCTTGTTGATTTCGGGAACCATTTGAGGAACAGACTGCCTTGTAGCACATAAGACCGTGTGCAGTAAAAAATTTCTATGAGCATCTACATAAATTGAGGGTGAACTTCTCAATCAACCCGCTGTAGATTGTCCTGCAAAGCTGACATATCCAGTTGTTTGAAATTCCAGCGCCTGTTGTTGATGGGATGTATTGGCTCAGTTTTGCTAATTAAACTAAATACTAGGGCGGCATGGTCGCTTTTCATCAGGGGAGCCAGAATTGAGAGGTTGTCAATTAGGAATACTTGGTTTGTAAATACCAAGTCTAACCACGACGGCATCTGACTGTTTCTCCAGCGAGTTGACGACTTCACACTTCCAAATATTCCGACATCCTCAATTAGGCTGAAGAACGTGCCTTCAATAGAGTTTCCATCTCCAATGTACGTATGTTGCGCGAAATTGGCTTTCGGGAGATTGATTGTCGTACTCGATGTCCGCAATGGACTTCCTGTAGATGACTCCAACTAGACACCTTGAAATTGTAGAAAATCTTACTTCGCACCATACAGATCCATCAAGATTGATAAACTCTTGGTTATGCATTTGACGCACCTCCAGGCAAGATTGTAAGTATAAGGCTACTCCCCCACAATTCCTGTTTTTTCTGTCATTGGAAAGCAAGGACATCCCGGGCATTTTTAGCTCCTGGTCGTAAAATGAGAAGATATCCATTTTTAGATATTCCTATTAGACAAGCATTGTTGGCATTACCAAGTCCATGCGTCCCATTAATTTTGTCCGTAAACTCACGGCGTTCATACATAAACAGTTTGTGCTCTTAATTTGAAACGCGTCAGCCTCCCCGTCCTGTTTGTCTGTATGAGCCTTACGTGAGCCTTACGTAGCCTAGTTGTACAGGGTTTTCCAAGTTGGTAGTTCTTGTCCTTTCTATGCTATTTATGATCTGGACAGTTCACAAGAGGAATAGTCAGCTCCAACTTGCCTTTGTGCTTGATCCTGGCATCATGTGGTCTGCCCGGATGCTTATGGATTTCAGTTGGCAACCGACGTCTGTTGACATGAAATGCTTCGAGAGCTATAGCAGCGATAGGGGGGAGGGGGGTTATCTTCATCAGTCGGGGTCTAGAATCCCCGTCCTTCTTTGCTAGTCTCACCACTCGATGAGCCAATATGACCTTGAGCTTCGACGACTGCTTGATGAATTTCGATTTCCGAACATCAGAGTTAGTGTGGTCAGGGTCGGTATTTTCCGGTACACCTTGCACAATGATATTTCTTCGGCGGAAAAACTTTCCGCAAGATTCCTTAGGGATGTTCTGGATCAGCTCGCGCTCAGAATACGATATACCACACAGTATTCTTACATTCTCATCTGATTTCAGTAAGTGGCTGATCAGTAAGATATCCTCTATGTCGGTAGCGTTAGTGAGCGTTACACGAAGTAGACTTGGGTGGTGTTGATGCTTAGAGTCCTTTCCACAAGTAAACCGTGTAACCGTCAAATACTCTATTTTGGGAAGTTCCAGCTCTTGTTTAACTAGTCCCAGAGCATCCTGTCATTTTTGTCTTGCAGGCTGAGGGGCAGGCCAGGGGTATCGTTAAGGTTCATGAACGCGAGAGAATCATCGCGAACCGTGATTGATTTCTATGGTTTTCGGGTACGTTCAGGTTGAGGACCTTATTGTTTGGTAGTTGAAGCGCATTTCAAATTCCTATGTTAATTGCTGACCGGTTGGAAATTCTTGTTGGTAGGCTGTGCGGCCAAATCACCAGTTGTTTTCACCACAATACATGGGATGTTCAGTTTCTTAGATGGTAAAAGCCGGTCCATGTCAATTTCGTTGACGTAGGTGCAATCACCTACAGAGTTTCTGAGGACCACCGTTGCATCCAGAGATCCTCTGCTTGTAGACCCAAGTCTGCTGAGAGAGTCTAGTACCGTCAACGTTATGATGACGCTGGGCTTCCGTATGTCCTCACTAGTGGCATTACATCCTCCATCGACACTAGCATTGTCGAGGCCTGTTTTGTTGCCTTAACTACTTTAGGACTACCTTTTTTCAGGTTCGCTGACCACGTTTTCCACAGACCTGAAAAGAGAATGATGATGTTGCCCAGAAAAACCTCATCATCCATGTTGCACGTGTCACGTACCCACCTACGATCCGACTTACTACGTTTAATGTAAGCGCTTACTGTAGGATCTGTGCAAGATTCGTGGACCCAACCTTTACAATTGTCACAACGCATGCCAGAGGCAACAGCAAAATGACTTCCGGGTCTCTTGCATGAATTCCCCATGACAATGGTGACGTAAATAGTTTTATAGATTATAGATTATAGATTATTTTCAGTGAAAGACTAGAACTAATTTGGAAATATACTATAGTAATTGAGTGTAAGTGTATAAAAAGGTCCACCAACCTGTTGTCCACATTACTGAAGATGGGTGGCTGTAATTTGGGGAGGCAATTTCGCACTCTACGGTACGTTAAGCAGTAATCAGGACCCAACAAGCGGTGGTCGTTGATTTAATACTGTAACCAATATAGAACGTAAGTAGAACGAACGTTCTATTATTATCATATGACGTTGTCCATTGAATCCATTTACAAATCTGTTTTGTCCTGTAGTACTCCCGGGAGACGCATGACTTCCAAGTAAATAATAAGGCAAAAATAAAGGCTAAACAGGGGGTGAATAAAGCACTGACATTCCAGGAAGACTTACTTTCCTCTCGTCACCGGAAAAACATGATAAATGTCTCCTTTTCTTAATCATCCCCAAACGCGAAGCAAAAACGTCAGTGGCAATTATCCATCGTCGATTAAATGTTTTAGTATCGCTTGTATTCACAGGTAAAAAGGACTCTCCGTATTTACTCAAGTCAGATTTTTAAGTTACAGTAACAGAAGTCTCAGCCTTTTGTGTTCAATGTCGACAACTCTTAATGCTTTAAAAATATTTATACTAGAAGTCGATTTCATTTGTTTTTCCGCTCTTTAAGAAATTTTTCGTGTTTCTCTTCTTATGAGCCTATCTAACAATTTTTATGGCACAAGTAAGACATCGTTGTGCTAGACCCACATGTTTTTTTCCTGTCGATGATGGAATGGAATGTTGCAACTGCAACAAGTGGTATCACATCATGTGCACCGGACTCACACTGGCTACATATTAAAAGTATTACATGGCACTTTTACGTTGTTTGCGCAAAGCATGCTGCTCTTCAAAGTTTTTGGTGATTCATCAGGTGATGGAACTACTGAACATAGCTAGAAAGATTCACTCAGATAAACAGCCAGCAGCAGATGGGCAGTATTCATTTTTCGAGAAAGCAGTGAGCTTTACTATCAGTCCAACTTGAGATCTGAGTGAAACCACCAAGGTGGACCCAATGATGTAGCTAGTAACACACAGATGAAGGGATGGTTACAAGAAAAAAAGCATGAATTTAATAAACAAATTATAAGGAGTCGACGGTTTCAGCCCCGAATTCACATATCAACACAAAACAGACTGTAGACGAGCATAGCCTGAGTTGGGCAGATGATTTGATCGAGAGACATTAAGGTCAGTGGTTGACTTACAGCCACACCCAGAAAAGGAAAAGTAAGAAAACAGTGAGACCTTCGCGTTTAATGCAAAATCGTACTGCAGGGATAAGATTTCAGGAAGCAAAACTTCATAGCACGGTAAGACGAACCTCGCTGACAGGTCAGTCATTTTTCATAAGTTAAGGGATTTTCGCGAAGAACTAAAGACCAGATCTGAACACGACCTCAGCCACATTAAATCCTTAATAAGCAAGTTACTCCTAGAAACAGTAGCAGGAGTTAGCATTTATAAGCTTTATAGAATAGGACAAAAAGTGGGTTCTGAACATACTCAGAAAAGCCACCTCTTAAGGGTAACTTCGCTTTCGCTGACGGAAAAAAACATAATACTGGGAAATTCACACACAAACTGGGTTCTGAATATACGTCCATGAAGATCTCGTCCTGGATTTTGTTTGTGCATTTCGAGATTAGATTCTATCATCAAAACATTCGCTTATTAGCCCTTAAGTGTCGTCTTGTCCCGGAAATATTACCGACAGATATCCACGTAATTTGCTGATAGATAACGTGTCGACGACAGAAGCGTGTAATAAGCTGAAGCAAGCAATTATTCAACAGACCACAACGTTTGGCGAGAAGCGATTGTTGAAACTGACAACAAAATGGAAGCTCGGTAATAGATCACGACTACAGCTACTAAGGCAAACGAAACATTTGATTGTACCATTTAGTATAGATCACGCTTTTTTACGAGAGATATAAATACAAAGGTTCCCCACCTCAGCTCGACAGATACTGTGAGCTTCCAGTCAACCCTTAGATCTCGAGAATTGTTCTTGCATAATGGGCAGGATTTTAGATGTAACACTCGGTAGTACGTCATGAGTTCAAGTGGTTTCTGTTATGTCAAGTTGCGCATCAGGACCAACAATATTGTCGTTCGCCGCATAGCTAGCAGATCTACGTATCCGGTATTCAACAACCTCCCGCAAAGGTGATATAGGAGTCAGCGTTCCGGAACGCCGAAAGATAGACAATGTAGTAAAAAGCTACTAATTGTTTTACCAAATGCAAACTTTTAAAGTCTTTGTTCACGATGGGAAACGTGGTGACCGGCCAGTAACAGCAACGGTTGTTACCGCTAAGTCTTCTAGTGTTGGACAAAACTTCATGTTCAAAGTTCTTTGTGGAAAGGGGTTTATAAGTTAGTATAGTCCCAGTCACTTTAACACGTCGACCAATGAGCAAACGCCGCAAGTATTTTTTTAAAAAAACATGTAGGAAACAATTACTTGTCCTAGACCTCAATATTAGAAGCTTTTTCAATTGGGTACTTATCGTGGCTAAAGTTCGATATACTATTTTGAGCTCAGACTTTCTGAATGGTTGCCGTTTTTAGCGACAGGATGGCTTCATTGTTGAGGATCCTCGCTATTTTTTGTAACCTTAATTTTGATACACTAGTTCCCTTCAGAACAGGGCTTCATCTAACTCGGGGTTGTTATTTCTTATTTTGCTAGACTTCAACTTATCGCCTCTTATTTCACCACTTTTCATTTGATCTTCCTAACAGACTAGTAAATCAAGGAAGTTAATCAACAAAGAGCTCCACTATGTCATCATGACAGGTGACCTTTGTTTGATGTCGTTGCAGCACACTATCAGACAGTTAATATTATGGTATAGCTACTGGGGCCGGTGCGTATTTGTGCCGGGCTCTTCGTTGATGATGACTGACTGATCTCTGCCTGATCTGACATCACATATCGTTGTCGTTTGGAAGAATCCAGTTGCTTCTGTCCTTGTATTCTACACTTAGCAAGGTAGTGACCAGGCTGTAGCCTAAAAACTTATGCAAGTATAGTGTAGCCTAACAGTAAACAAGGAACAAACACCCGAATTTCTTAATACATACGCACAATAAGAAGAGGACCACTTATCTTCTGTTACTGAGTATTTGTCTTCTCAAAAAATAATGTACAACTCTTTTGATCGATAATACGTAATACACCTTGTAAAAACTTAAGTGTCAAGATTTCCGAATTCTTTTAGAACAAAGCTAGGGGTGGCCCAATAAAGACACGGCATACGTCCATAGAGTCATTCACAATTTGACAGTCATATTAATAGTTGTCGACTACCTGATCGGGTCCGCGTAATTATCGTGACCAATGATTAAAGACTTTAAATGACACAGCTTAAAATCGTTTGGAATGGCGCAGGTGCATCCACTTTTGTCTTTACCCCAGATTCTAAGCTCTCGAACTTTTCATAACTTTATGTATGTTTCTGTTTCACTAATTTAAATTTTCTCCAATTGTATCTTTGGTACCTAATCTTTTCTATTGTTTCTGGTACTTTTACTACCTCTACAATTCTGGAATTTGGCCTGACAATTTCATCTCTCTGTGCTAATGGAGTATGGCAACTTGAACCGATGTACATATGTACTAGGTTCTACATTGCGAATGATCGAAACTAACTACGGGGAATAAAACATAAAAGTTTTAAGTTGTTCAGTGTTGCCTCTATCATTTCCTTTACGTCTTATATGATTCTATTTTATTATTTTATTTGAACACAAATATTGGTACAAGAGGGCACCATATATATATGCGACGCACATTTATATGATTACATCTAAATGAAGTACACTCTCGAGAATTGAGCCTAGGATTACCAAGTACGTATCTAATATGTCATCCCGTGAACTATTATTATTGTTTCAGTTATTTTATGCACCATTTTATCTAAAAGGAACTAATGTAAACTTGTTATACTCTTCTAAAGTTAATTTTAGAGTACTTATTATATTAAATGATGGGTCGTTCTCACTCTCGCTACAGCTCTTCAAGTTCACCAAATGAAAAGCGTAAAACATATCACACAAAACCCCACAGTCGTTCACATCGTAAGAAAGTCAAAAGAAAATCAATCAATCGGAATGCATCGAATAGCCGTCAAAAAGATAAAATACTCAATCTTACTCAAAAAGTGTGCAATATGGTTGATGCTGATAAGAAGCGTAATCGTTCTGAAAAGCATAAGAATAAATTGACATCTTGTGGATGTCCATATAATTGTGAAGACGAGATCCTGACATTACGTAACAGCATTGAGAACCTTCGTTCCGGTTTAAGTCTTTGTCACAAAGAAAGGCCAATTTTTCAGCTCGATCATTTTGTTGACGATCATTATCAGCTTCTTTCTGAAGCTTGGATTTCTATCGGTCCATCTAAGCTCAAAGATCTAGTGTCTGCTAATTTACTGTCAATATGTGCTCGACGAGAACGTAGGGATATGAAACATTCATCTGGTAAGAACCCCAAGGTTTCATGTGTTGTCCAACCCTATGTATCTTTTGACGGAAGTGACTACCAACTTGGGATTTCGGAGTTGTGGCATAGATGTATTCAGGAGCTGAATGATTTGTCAATCGACCAAATAAAAGCCATTCTAAGTGGAACAATGAACCTTGATCCGGTTGAATTAGTTCGTCATCCTAGTAACAAAAGTGAGATTGTCAGCTCCGAAAAAGATAACTGCTCTCATTCCCCTAAACTAAATCCAGTATGTGAAAAGAATTCTGAAATGCAAGTTCACGATGCTGATTCAACTACTGCCTTGTGTTCAGTGAGTTTTTCAAAGTAAATTTTCTTGAAAAATTTCGTTGTTCAATACGATGGTCTCTTACTTAACACCCCATGATCAGTCCGGTAGCTGTATTAGTTACCCACTGAATCCTTTGGGATTCTACCCTCATTTTTTATGGATTCCCTTTAAATTTGATGTCAAATAGTTCACTTTTTAAAACATATCAGGTGATATTGTTAGACCTCAGTAAGATTAAAATCTAGCCTATAAATATATCTTTAAAAATAATGGTCCAGCGTTAGAAGTTAGATTGATTGAAGTGTTAGCTGGAATCCTTGGACTTGTTGCAATCTCACCTGACTGGTCCCAATCACTAGTTGTTTCAGTCTATAAGGATAAAAATCCTCTTTCGACAATCACAACAATCATTTTGAATAATATGATAATGTGATATACGGATCACTATACAATTTGGTTAGGGCTCAAGATATGATCAGTATATTCATGACTAGAATAAAGATTCGCTTGCTCCCCACCAGTTAGTCTTTAGTGGATTTAAATATTCTGTCAATTATCACAAAACGCAAGTAGTTTGGACGCAGTCAAAAGTAGATTAATCTCCATGTAATCGTTGGGTCGGCAACGTAAACTCTGTTTTTAAAAATGAGGATAACTATAGGTCCCTTCCAGGATGTTTGAACACTAATTACCAAACTTCCAAACAACCCAGTCAGTTGTTTGGCCAGAAGTTCCCAAACATCCATAAAATATCCCGAGAGTAAGTCAACTGGGACTGGCGATTTGCAGCCTCTTGTGAACTCCCTGTTCATCAAGTAAATCAGTCGTCACCGGCCATAAACGGTAGTCTGATTGATGTTGCTATGGTAGCAGATAAGCTGAACTGTTCATCGTTCAAGACGTTGGTGGATGCTATTGATTTCCTTGCCATCAACTTCACAAACTATATTACTCACACCAGGTTTTTGCTGCCAGTAGTTTGGATGAGTTAGGAGAGTTTCCGACGGTCATCAGATTCAGCTGCTGGCGAAAAGACATCGCTACTCATACCGATTTCTTCTCACTTTGACGGAGCTTCCTACTTTAAGAGCACATAATCAACTGTGAGTAGGAATCTAATCAATTAGTGCTGTCTGAGCAACATCAGCGCCATCAAGAATAGATGAAGATGCCACAGAGTCCCTGAATAAAGGTACGCGGAGCAAGCATTTCTAGTTGATGGATGGAGAGTGAGTACTCAGCACTTCACTGGGGTCTTAGATGTTGATCTCAGATAGACAGCAGACGTTATTGTTTATTATTTATTTGAACACATAAATATTGGTACAAGGGGGCACCAAATATACATGCGCCACACAAAACATTCATAATGGGAAGAGAAAAAAGAAGGTAAGTTGCGCATAAGAAAAAAACACAATAACAACCACAGATTAGTGTAAGGTAGTGTAGTAATAATAATAATGGGGGGAACGAAAAGGTACAACCAGAAGAATTGTTTCAGTTAAGGAAGATACAACCACTTTTTATGGCGAAAGTAAAAGAAGGTTACAGCAGGATCGCCACTGGCTTCTGTTCTGAGCCATATCTGATAACGTCTCTAGCCACTGTGTAGCACCATCTCTAGAACCCCAACCAGGGAGTCGTGAAGGACCAACACAAACCAGTTCTTTGGAGATTTCTTTCATCCCACGACACCATGTCATACACTGACCACCTCTCCGGTTTTTCCAACCTGTCCCAGAGTCGGCAAATAATGCACGACGTGGAATTCTCTGGAACGACATTCGGAGAACATGTCCAAGACACCGAAGTCGGTGTTTCAAAGATAGGGACAACTATCGACTCATTCCATGACGTTGGTACACTCTGTAGTTCCCAAACCTTTGTAAACAACGTCGTCAATTCCTTAGTCAAAAAGTCACCACCATCTTTAAAAAGAGCCGGAGGTAAGTCATCTGGGCCAGGTGATTTGTAACGCTTCAAGAGTTGGAGTTGGAGTTCCTTGCGGACTTCCTCCTCGTTTGGTGGATCATTCGTCACCGGCCATGGAGGGCAGGACAGTCTAACCGATGTTGCCGGAGCAGCAGGCCAGTTGAACTGCCCTTCGAAAAATTCTGCCCATCGTCCAAAACGTCGATGGATGTTAGTGATTGGCATCCCATCATCCTCGCAGATTGTTTCACTCACACCAGACTTCTTGCTGCCAGTGGCTCGGATGAGTTGGAAGAGCTTCCGGTAGTTACCAGATGCAGCTGCTGCTTCCAGCTCATTAGCACGCTTCGACCACCAGTCTTCTCGGTCCTTAAGCAAGCTTTGCCCAATTTCCTTACGTAACATCCTTTGTTCATGGTCAAACTCACGGTCACCCGGAGTAGACCGGCGGGCTTCAATGAGTTGTAAGGAACCAGAAGAAACCCAGTGCTTATAAGCGGGGCGTTTCGCAAACCCACAACTGACTGTACCCGCCATTTCCATGGCGTCATGCAATTGCAACCAATGCTCATCTATACTTTTCGGTGGAGTGGTAGCTAGCCTAGAGGCTAGCTCGGTTCGATACTTACTTGCAACATAAGTTGCAGCCAGCTTGCTAATATCAATCCGTTGATGGCGGTCATTTCGTTGTCCACTGAAAAGTAAGGCAAGATTGGCGCAGACCAAGGCATGGTCAGAGTCCAGATAGGTACTCCAAAAGGAGCAGCAGTCTTTTACACAACCACGCCAGTGGTAGCTGATCGCGATGTGATCAATCTGAGTCCAGGCTTGGGATGCAGAGGGAGGACGCCAGGTGGCACATCGGCGATGACTGTGCCGAAAGTTAGTGCTAGCCAGAAACAGGTTGTGGTCTGTGCACGGTTGCAGTAGACGGTCCCCGTTGTCTGACCTGCGACCAACGAGTCCCCATCGGCCACCTAAACGACTCTCTTCTGTGCCTAGACGCCCGACCTGAGCATTCAAGTCTCCGGCTAGTACCACAATATCTGTCGAACGCACTTTCTGGAGAAGAACAGTTGATTGGTCGTAGAATTCATCCTTGGTTGCGTCCGGGCTGCAACCTGTCGGGGCATAGGCGGAGATGACGAAAAGACATCGTTTCTTACGCCGATTTCTCCTCACTTTGATGGAACTTTCTAATCTAATAGCACATAACCGACTGTTAATGGGGATCTAATCGATTAGTGCTGCCTCAGCTCTAGCGCTTAGTGCGACACCAACGCCAGCAAGACCAGACGAAGATGTCACAGGGTCTCCGGATAAACGCACGTAAAACAAGCTTTTTGAAGCGCCAGATAGCGTGCGAATTTGTAGTACTTCACCAGAGTCTTGAATACGGGTCTCGGATAGACAACAGACATCGATATTAAGACTTTCCAAAGACATAGCCAGCCCTATCTGTTGTCCGACCTGCATAAGTTTGCGAACGTTGAAGGCAGCCAGTTTGAATGGTGCACGTGGTTTCGGAAAAACTGGTTCAGTATTTGTGTTCGGTGGTAGCACTCAATTTTCGACCAGTCAGTGACTCGAGATCGTTTAGTTAGAACAGAGTTTCCACCGTAGGCGTTAATTATAAACCTTTATAAAGGCAGCCAAACCACCAGTTGTTCGATCTGCATTAGTGTGTGAACGTTGAAGAAGGCCAGTTTGAATGGTATACGTAGTTTCAGAAAGACTGGTTTAGAATTCATATTCGGTGGTAGCATTCAACTTTTGATCGGTCAGTGACTTGAGACAATGTAAAAGTACAGAAATTCCATTATAGGCGAGGTGCTGTATAAGCTGAATAATAAAGGAATACACAAAATGGGAATTAAAGGGAATAGACAAGTGGCTCACTGTAAAACAGAAATGAATGTTACCGAAAACTTGTGAATATGGTTTCCAGGGACGCAAATTGAAGCGAGAGTATTTTTTTCAGTCGTAATTATCTTCAAGTTTATATTTGGGCAAGGAAACTGTCTGGATGTCAAGACCGAAGTAGGTGGTTTTTCTATATGGTCACTCTGAACCTTTTGCCTAGAAGCTTGATCCACAAGTCAGAGGAGCAACGTTAGAAGGTCCGATGTCATAGTAGCAGGTAACCAAGAATAGGTTCATACTTCACTTGATCCTTCAGGACCGTGCAGCCCATATTCACCATTGGGCGTTCCAACTTCCATAGGTCTATATTCCGTACTCAACAACCCTGTTTAAGTTTTCGACTTGCATTTTTCATCCCCCCACCACGAGAGGGACAGTGAGTAGGACTTCCCTGGCAATGGCTACATAAACGTAGCCATATGACAACATTTAGAGAAGGAGAGAGGGCCCTCACCACCTTCGGCCGTACAAGGGCATTTGGGGGATAATTCAGTGAAGATTAAGTAATAAATTTGAACCCGTAGTATCCAATTAATCTGATGCACAATGTTGCCTGTCATAAAGTAGGTTAGTAAAAGGCCATATTTAAAAAGTGGTTGTATCTTCCTTAACTGAAACAATTCTTCTGGTTGTACCTTTTCGTTCCCCCCCATTATTATTATTATTGCTACACTACCTTACACCGATCTCTTCGTTATTGTTCTCTTTTTTTTCTTGCGCTCCTTACCTTTTTTTCACTTTTCTCTTCGAATTCTCATTGTTTCGTGTGGCGCATATGTATTGGCGCTCTCTTGTTCCAATATTTATGTGTTGAAATAAATAATAAATAAATAAATTTCGGTTGGCATTATATTGCTTTCTTTTCATTTTCATCTGACTAATCTCCTTTCTCGATGTGCGATGTTAAGTGTAACAACTTATTCACTCATACACATTTGTGTCCGGTCGTATTTTGGCCATAACTGACTGGCTGTCCCCTATATTGCGATATCATGTTCGCTATTAAACCAAATGGTTCTAATTTCAGAAAATATAATGGCTTAGCTTTGCAATCTCCTGTTATAGAGGGAACTGATGAAAATGCAGCTAATAATAACAAGGCTTCTTTATGAATCATCCTTTATTTCCAATTAATTTGTGTATTTATATTTATGGATGGTTTTTATCACGAAGTGATGTCAGAAAACACTGAAAAGCTTAATGTTCCGCCTTCGGAAATCACCATCAGTACACACCGATAACCTCCCATGAGACCAAATCCAGGACTTTTAAGTCCTGGGGGGGAACATAGTATTTTTAAACCTTTACACAAATATTTTTGATAATAGCTAAACAAATAAACCTGTACGTGACAAATGAGTTACTTATTTTCACATAATCACTCTACAGTCAATGTGGTGACAATTGCTTACAATATACTCACTAAACAAAAAATCGTATTCCAACAACATCTTTCAAATAACATTACGTTTATCATCTGATCAGTCAGTCAGTCAGTCAGTAACAACGTAGAACTTCGTACGTACGTACATCAGTTCAAGTTGCCATACCACATTAGTACAGAGATGCAGTTGTCGATTCAAATCCCGTAGTGATAGAGGCGGTAAGAGTATAAGCAGTAATAGGGAAGATTAGGGTTTGAAGATGTTATTCAAAGAGTATAATCCAGTGAAATAAATTTGGAAAGAGAAAAAAGAAAGGGACATGAAGAATTCAGAAGATAAGAATTTGGTAGAACATAAAGAATGGATGCACCTGCGCCATTGCAAATGATTTTGAGCCATGTCATTCAGGGTCTCTAACCATCGGTTGCTATCATCTCGTGGTCCCCAACCAGGTAGTCTACACCTACCAACATAGGTCAGTCCACTTGACAGTGACTTCATGGACTTGTGCCATGTTTTGGTCTGGCCACCCCTAGCTTTCTTCCAACCTACTCCTATACCACTGAACATCGCTCGTCGAGGCAGTCGGTCGTTGGGCATACGTAACACATGTCCCAGCCATCTCAACTGATGAAGTTTCACTACTTCATCAATTGATTTACCCGTTTCCTAACAACTGTGTTACTTACTCGATGGTCCCATGATATACGAGCAATATTTCGAAGACACCTATGATCGAATAATAGTAACCTACGAATATCCTCTACTCTTATCGACCATGTTTCACTGCCATAAAGTAGGACATGACGAACTGCTGAGCAGTAAACACGTCCTTTGGTTGATAGACGGATATCTCGCTTACCCCATAAATGACGCAAGTTGGCAAAAGCTAGTCGAGCCTTCTGTATCCGTGCTGAGATTTCGTCACACCAAACCACAAGGGCTGATGAGACTTCCAAGATAAGTGAAGCGGTCGACACACTCAACTACTTCACTCCCTATCACTAGCTCGGGCGTCGATGTAACCCAATCGTGAAGCAACATTTTACATTTCGAGGGAGAGAATCGCATGCCGAACATGCTTGCATTGTTGCTTAGAGTAGTCAGAAGACTGCATTTTGTCAGCGTCTTCACCAAATAAAACTATGTCATCTGCATATTCTAAGTCAACAAGTGGACCTCCCGGTAGGAGTTCAACCCCTGGAAATTTAGATGAGGAGAGTGTTATCTCTAAAAGTACGTCGACCACAAAGTTCAACAAGAATGTGATAATGATTCACAACATTCTTTCTCTTTATTGTTAGTTCTGTTAGAAAGATCGTAATATCAACGTTTTTGTATTTGCTTTATTGAATAGATTACTTTACTTAAGAAATATTTCTGTTTTCCTAGGTACTTGAAAATCAATTTGATGTTCAAAAAGCTAATGATCATAGGATTATTGATGATAAACTTTACCCGAATTCGGAATCATTTACGAAATCCTGGTCTTCTACAAGTCCAAAAGATTGTAGAATTGAGGAAAAACATTCAACTGGAGAAACTGACTGTATTTCAGATTCAAAGGATTTAGTAGTATGTATTGTTGTGTTATTTATTGTGTTAAGCTTATCAATCACTTATGAAGTTCTGAGCCCGATTCATGGTAGTTCATGGTCTCGCACTGCTTATAAGTCTATAGCTCTATATCATGTCCTTTCTAATCATACTGTTATAAGATTATATACAGTTTTAGTCTGCTTCATACTACTGATATGTCGTATTAGTAGTACGATGTATTAACAGTAGGAAATGTATGCGAAAACACAAATCACACTATTGCTCATTCATTCACACAACAAAAATAGCAACTTATCGCTTTAAAAAGTTCAAATTATCTACTCCCTTAGAATTCATTCGTTGTAGTCATACCGTTGTGCAATAAAGAAGCTAGTTTCATTTAGTTACTTATATTTATTATTCTTAACAAAACGTTGGTACAAATGGACAGTTCATAAAACATGCCATTTAACTGGATATTTCGAGGTCGGGACACTAAATCAGTTATTATCAATGTATCCAAATGCATTAACAGACTTCATGATTACTTTTACAAAATGTTACTATTCAGTGTAAACAATCATTGGGAGGCACAGATGATAGGCCACTTAAAGTTGTCGATTATCTTAAGCTCATCTGGAGAAAGCAGATTGTTCAAAAATAGATCAGAACCGCTCCTACTGAATCGTTGTGCACCATCTGACTTCAGATATTAATCCTTTAAACCTCCAAATGCCAGACAGTCAGTCACAACGTAGAACCTGGTTCGTCAGTCAGTTAGCTACAACGTAGGACCAGGAACATATATGCATCGGTTTAAGTTTCCACACCTCATTAACACAAGATGAACAGCGGATTCTCAGACTTAGTTAACTCAGTGGCTCTAATATATAAAAGGAAGATTGCATATAAGCATATTCTATAGGAAGAAAGAATTAGGTAGTAGAAAGAAAGATATAAAGCAATTTTAGTCTAACAGTTTAAGGGAATTCAGAGAGTGTAAACACCGACGCCATTATGATCGATTCTGAGCCATGTCACTCAGAGTCTCCAACCATTGGTTACGATAGTTGCACGGACCCCAACCAAGTAGTCTGCATCTACCAACATGACTCAGACCAGAAATTAATGACTTCAAGCACTGATGCCACGTTTTGGTTTGGCCGCCCCTAACGTTTTTCCAACCATCCCCAACACTAGTCAGCATTGCACATTGTGGTAATCGGTGTTCAGGAATATGTAGCACGTGGCCCAACCATCTCAGTCGATGATGATTCACAACCTCATCAAGTGATTTACCATCAATCCATAATGCCGTGCGTCCAACCTCACTATAACTTATACGGTGATCCTTAGCAGATGCGATCAACATTTCTAAGGCATCTGTGGTCGAATACTGGTAGCTTATAAATATCTTCTACTCTTAATGGCCACATTTCGCAACCGTAAAGCAGAACAGAACGAACTTCCGTGCAGTATACTCGCGTCCCTTAATTGATAGACGGATATCTCGCCTTCTCCATAGGTGACGTAAGCTGGCAAAAGTCAAACGAGCTTTTCAAATCCGTGCTGAGATTTCGTCCGATACCAGCTCATCAGGGCTGATCAGACTTTCAAGATAAGTGAAGTTGTCAACACATTCGATTACCTCACTCCCTATCCTTAGTTCAGGTATTGACGCAGGCCAGTCCTGAAGCAACATGCGATTCCTTGTCAAGTCTGAATGTAGTCTACATTCATATATCATTTCTTCATCTTTCATCCGTTTTGATTTGCTAATCATCAATGCTCACGATCACTATGCCTATATAGAACGTTATACTTAACCAAGATACTCTTATCTGTATGTCTTTATCGTATACAAAGTGTTCTCAAAACAACATCGTTCAAGTTGTCTTTCGGATGTTTCACTGTATATGGGTTTTTTTATATTAGGCATTTGGCTTTGAGCTAGTTGGGGACGTGTACGAACTTCACTTCACATGGTCTAATTTAGGTCAACTTTATAAAGTATCATAAGTCGTATAATTTTTACAACTTATCCATCGATAACTAACAAACATATTCATATGTTTATGTTGTTATTGAAGTACATAGTTTACCTATACTTTACTTATTTCATAGGTATCATTCCCAAGGTTTGATTTGATAATTTCGAATAAATTGAGCATTGGGTTGATTGTAATAAATAATAATAATATATTTGTAATATCCCAATGAGTAGAAAATTGGATTTTCTGACGTTTCGTGACTTAGTGTAAGTCACTTCTTCAGAGAATAAATAACCAAATTAAAATTAATCCAAGTTTAAATAGTACAACGGAACAATGCAAGAATAATATTTGATCAATCACAAAAACAGGTCTGAACAAGTTGATGTCATGTCATTTCTGTCAAGGTGATTCATAAGTGATATGTGCATTGTTTAAGAATGAAAACTTGTGTGACCTTTATGGTAAGAAAGGATAGAGTTTAAATTTGTAATATGAAAGTGTGAAATTGTAAATACGATCAGACTGAATGGTTAGGATAGATGGTCCAAGTAGGGTGTATGGTAAGGCCTTCTTTTCTATTGAGAGAAGTAGGATTAAGCATTATGTGGAACGCCTCAGCTACCCTCCTTTCTTTGTAGTTGGAAAAGCCTTTTTGCAATATTTTGATATTTTTAAAATCGATTTGGTGGTTGTTGAAAATGGCATGAACTGCTATTGCCGATTTAATTTGAAGTTGGTTCAATTCTAACGGATTGTTAGGAGGTTTCTTTGTGTACCTAATATGTTCTTTGGCTCTAGTCACGATTTCGCGGGATGACTCTCCAATATAATAGGCATCACAATCGATACAACCTAATTTGTAAACGCAGTTCTGTGTGGACATGAAAGGGATTTTTTCTTTCAGGCGAACTAAAGTATTACGTAGTGTGTTCGTTGTTTTGTAATACACTTTAATTCTGTGATGTTTTAAGATTCTTTGGATTTCTTCTGTTGTGCCATGACGGTATGGTAGAACTACAGTACCAATCCATGGCATTTCATTCGAATCATTATTATAATGTAATAAACTGTGTTGTTTTAATATGCTTCTAATAATCTTCATAGGAAAATTATTAAATTGTAAGATGCTAATTATATTCATTTGTTCTTTTTGTTTGTCTTCCTCTGATGTGATAATCTTGTTAGCTCTTCTAAAAAGATTTAAGGCTAGCGAGATCTTAGCACTGAAAGGATGTGCTGAATGGAAGTCAATATAACGATTTGAATGCATCGGCTTTCGGTAAATGGATAAGTTTAGACTTCCATTTGGATTTCTTTTTACTAAGCAATCCAAGAATGGTAGCTCACCATGTGCATTTTCATTTTCATTGGTGAATTTGATTTGCGATGAGAGTGTATTAATTCGTTTTGAAAAAGATCTTAGATGAGATAAGAAAACATCAACAATAAAATACAATTTGAATGATCTAAGAACAGTTCATAATCTCTCCAACAGAAACTTAAACAGTCACGAAATCACTCTACTAGAGAAGGGATTAAACTTCAATTTACACAGAAAACCACTTAGCACTCTTGAAATCGCTCCGATTATAGAACCTATGATCGCACAACTACCGGAAAAAGAGTCGCATTTACTACGTCAAAAGACATCCCATATTCTGACGAAACAAAAACACATTACCCCAAACATTTCAAAAGAAGAATTGAAGGCTCTGAATTCACTTAAAAAAGACAAAACAATTATCATCACTAAAGCCGACAAAGGCAACACAACAGTAATCATGAATAAAACGGATTATATTAATAAAGCTCTTGAACATCTCTCAACAGGACCTTATGAAAAGATCAATCCAAAAACTTCTCTAACGATTAAGAATAAAGTCAAATTAGAAACAAATCAACTTCTGAACGAGCTAAAACCAATCATTGGGGTCCCGCTTTGGTTTGCTTTGCATCCCAAATCATGTAATGTCTCACGGTTTTATGGCTTACCAAAAATTCATAAACCAGATATTCCTTTAAGACCAATAGTAGACTTCACAAACACCCCAACATATGCACTATCGAAATATTTAAGCAATATATTAAAACCATTACAACTCAACTTACATAATATAATTAAAGACACATATGACTTTAAATCAAAATTATCCGGATTAATCATCGAGAAGAATGAAATCATGGTAAGCTTTGATGTCGTTTCTTTATACACAAGTGTGCCCATTGATAAATGCTTAGAATTCATTAGTGGTTTACTTGAGAACGACAATACTCTTCCTGACAGATGTCCGTTGAGCATCAGTCTAATCATGAAATCATTAAAACTTTGCTTAAATTCAACGCTATTTACTTTTAACGGTATTTTATTCAAACAAACTAACGGAGTAGCAATGGGATCCCCCGTGTCCCCGATTGTAGCCAACCTTTTTATGGCATACATAGAATCAAATATCTTCGCCCACAACATTATACCACGAATTTGGCTTAGATATGTAGACGATACATTTGTGGTTATAAAAAAGACTCATCTAAGATCTTTTTCAAAACGAATTAATACACTCTCATCGCAAATCAAATTCACCAATGAAAATGAAAATGCTCATGGTGAGCTACCATTCTTGGATTGCTTAGTAAAAAGAAATCCAAATGGAAGTCTAAACTTATCCATTTACCGAAAGCCGATGCATTCAAATCGTTATATTGACTTCCATTCAGCACATCCTTTCAGTGCTAAGATCTCGCTAGCCTTAAATCTTTTTAGAAGAGCTAACAAGATTATCACATCAGAGGAAGACAAACAAAAAGAACAAATGAATATAATTAGCATCTTACAATTTAATAATTTTCCTATGAAGATTATTAGAAGCATATTAAAACAAAACAGTTTATTACATTATAATAATGATTCGAATGAAATGCCATGGATTGGTACTGTAGTTCTACCATACCGTCATGGCACAACAGAAGAAATTCAAAGAATCTTAAAACATCACAGAATTAAAGTGTATTACAAAACAACGAACACACTACGTAATACTTTAGTTCGCCTGAAAGAAAAAATCCCTTTCATGTCCACACAGAACTGCGTTTACAAATTAGGTTGTATCGATTGTGATGCCTATTATATTGGAGAGTCATCCCGCGAAATCGTGACTAGAGCCAAAGAACATATTAGGTACACAAAGAAACCTCCTAACAATCCGGTAGAATTGAACCAACTTCAAATTAAATCGGCAATAGCAGTTCATGCCATTTTCAACAACCACCAAATCGATTTTAAAAATATCAAAATATTGCAAAAAGGCTTTTCCAACTACAAAGAAAGGAGGGTAGCTGAGGCGTTCCACATAATGCTTAATCCTACTTCTCTCAATAGAAAAGAAGGCCTTACCATACACCCTACTTGGACCATCTATCCTAACCATTCAGTCTGATCGTATTTACAATTTCACACTTTCATATTACAAATTTAAACTCTATCCTTTCTTACCATAAAGGTCACACAAGTTTTCATTCTTATACAATGCACATATTCATACACACACAAATTTACATACTTATCACTTATGAATCACCTTGACAGAAATGACATGACATCAACTTGTTCAGACCTGTTTTTGTGATTGATCAAATATTATTCTTGCATTGTTCCGTTGTACTAATTAAACTTGGATTAATTTTAATTTGGTTATTTATTCTCTGAAGAAGTGACTTACACTAAGTCACGAAACGTCAGAAAATCCAATTTTCTACTCATTGGGATATTACAAATATATTATTTTTATTTACTTATTTCAGTTTAAATATCTCTGTAATTGCTTTAGACTTATTTCATTTTCAACCTGTATACAATTTTCTTTTTAAATTTCATTCTACATTGTAGGATTTAGTTCATCAAGAGATTACAGAACTTGAAATGCGAGCACGAGCTATTCGTGCAATGCTTAAAACTAAATCGGATCAACTCAAATCATAAATTTGTAAATTTATTCTTGAAGCATAAACATGTCATCTATCACTTGTTTCATTTGTCTTTATATATACATCGTTATCACTATGGTTATTATTATTATAAAACATTGTTTTCACCAAATCGTATGTTTCGATTTCTTCACCCCATTTTATTTCCTTTCGTCGTTTGTGTGTGTGTGTGTGTTTGTATATAACATCCTGGTTATTTTCCTACTATTTGTATTATGACCAACTATTCACGTATATACATATATTAGTTTGATTCTTATATCATTTCTATTTGTTGTTTATATTATCTACCATTCGGTTTGTTATACTCAATGAAATGAGATTATGTACATTAATAGAATTTCAATAAATATATACTTGCCCCCCACTTCCAGCCAAACAAGTTGGTGAAGCCTATTAGGTGCTTCTGGAGAGAAACAGGCCACATCGAAGCACGGCACAACTACCGGGGCTACAATAGTTGTTTCTGCAATCCTTTGGAGTTTGCCCAATGACGAGCAACTCCATATGATACATACACCACTTTCGAAATTTTTTTTGTCGTTTTCCATTCCAAATGTAATTGTCCTGTGTTTCTCTGTGGGTTTCGTAATCGATTGGTGGGTATAAGTAAGAGTGGGTGATTAGCCCGATCTCCACCACCCGGGTTACCGCTCACGTTAGTTCATGAGTTATTCGTCTCATTATCCAGGAGGCACGACGCGAACATGTGAGTCGGATTTTGCCTCTCAAATATATACTTAACTGTTTACTAATAAAATAATCATTTGTTTATGTATGACAAAATTGAAGTTAGACATTAACATCATTGGATGCGTACGCTCTATGGTCTAGAGGTTAAGTGTTCGCTCATGAGACCTATGGCCATAGGTTCGAATCCAACATGCGGTATTGTAGATGCGCATCTCTGAGGAGTTTTATACTAAAACAGACCAGCCATCCAATGATGGTTTAGCTTAGATGAGTTCATATTATTCAACTGTTAAAAATTATTACAATCTCTACAAATCAATATTTTGATAATAATTTCTCTCTAGTCTTCATTTTGTTAGGTCTGCCTCGACGTGCGATATTTTTTGGTGTAGGAGTAGACTGGAAGAAAGCTAGGGGCGGCCAGACCAAAACATGGCACAAGTTCATGAAGTCACTGACAAGTGGACTGACCTATGTTGGTAGGTGTAGACTACCTGGTTGGGGACCGCGAGATGATAGCAACCGATGGTTAGAGACCCTGAGTGACGTGGCTCAAAATCGTTTGCAATGGTGCAGGTGCATACACTCTTTGTGTTCTCCCAAATCCTAATTTCCTGAATACTCTCTTTACAAATTTATTTCACCGTGTTATACTCTTTAAATAACATCTCCAAACCCTAATCCTTCCGATTACTGCTTATACTCTTACCACCTCTATCACTACTGGATCTGAATTGACAACTGCATCTCTGTGCTAATGTGGTGTGGCAACTCGAACTGATGTACGTATGTACGAAGTTCTACGTTGTTACTGACTGATTTTGTTAGGTCCCGATAAACATAATGAATGGTAGCTTTTGGGATCCATTTATGGATCAATGCTATACGTACATTTTTATCGTATAATTGTTGAATAACTAAACTATTCATATTCTTCTTATCATAAGCTTTATTTTGACGTATGAACTATTATTATACGATTTATCATTCTTGTTATGCCCAGTCTATTAATTATAGTCTCCCATAATCACAGACACTTTCGGGTATATCGTGTACATATGTTGTTTCCTATTTTATGCTACGTTGTGGTCTTTTTGATTGGCATATAAACTCCGTATGCTTGAAATAAATAATTCATATTGCAGAGGCTGAGACTGGTGTTCTGTACTTAACTGGCTGTGCTAGGCGGAAAGCAGGATCAATCAGGACCCTAGACTGCTCGCACGTGTTTTACACGTCCTTGGTCCGATCGATAATTCTCTGCTTTCTGATTGGCGGCTTTGGGTCACAACATATTTAAGTTAATTACATTCTAAAAATCCTCTAGATATTAATGTATTTCAGTAATTGCCTTTGTTTTCATTCTGACAACAGTAGATTTCTAATAGTTGTCTTCGTTCTGTAATGTTTCATTTTTGTCTACACCACTAACAATAAATTCACTAAAATTGTTAATGTATTTCTACACATGAGTTCGAATCCCTCGGGCGGGATCGTGGATGCGCACTGCTGAGGAGTTCCACAATAGAACGAGACGGCTATCCAATACTTTCAGGTTTTCATTAATGGTCTGACATCAATCGATTCATGATCTTAATCAAAAACTTAATAATCTCCACAATTCTATAATGATATTCCTATCATTAATCTAGCTTAATTATGAATCAATAAATACCGGATTGGAGTGATTGAAATGATAAATAACTCATGAAACGAGGTCATGAATGTCAACTAGATAGATGTATAGAAAAATTAAATTATTCATAATGACTTATAGATTTGTCATTTATGTAAACTATAAGTGTAATTAACTAAGGTGATGTATGGTTATAAATTACTAGTCAAGTATAAAAACAAAAGGTCAATAAACAAACAATGAGGCTACATTTCTTATTGTTATATTACTGGTTTTCATCCTGATTAGTCTCAATTAAAAATAATAGTTAGCTAATTATAGGTAGGTTACTTAGTTCTATTCATTTATATTGGTTTTTTGGATCTTCCTATTGATGTTTATGACTGGAGTTGATCAGTCTATTTTGATATAAATCCATCCTTTGCGGATTGCCTCAACTGATCGATTTCATTCCGCAACATTAGTAGAAAGATCCAAACAACCAATATAAATGAATTAAGTTTCACCTCGTTGCACAAACTAGTGGTTATTTGGGCTCAATGACTCAGTGGATAACGTGATGGCGCTTAAAGCGAATGGTACCGAGTTCTTGGCGGCCCGTTGATCTGACTCCAATTTGAGTGAACTAATGAATATGCCATGAACATAAATCCTTCATTTAGCTCCGTATATTATACATACGCTATCTTCATTTGTGTGATGGCGTTAGTAAGAAGCCAAATACCGGTTGCGTTGAATGAATTTATTCCAGGCACTCGTTTATCCAGACAGATATTCTGAATGAAACGCAGGAAAGCGAAGCAAACAGGAGAAGTTGACCAATTCAGTTAAATAGAGTGTGACTTAATTTTAAAGGCGGATAATTGGCTAGGTGAAAATGTGACTCAAGAAGAGTAAGTTAATTGGTCCTGTTGAAACGGCAGCTAACCAATATGTTGAGGCTAATGTCCTCAATATCTGACTCCAATAAATAATATCCCGTAAACTGAGTATTTTAGGTAGGCTTAATCTCCTAGTTGAATTACGGATTTACTCGAGATTATTGAGAAGCCTGAACACCAGTTATAGAGATAGTTTATTGTACGGTGAGCAAGCACACGATGAAACAGAGTGAGTGTGTATGTTAAAATCCATATATATTTTTGAGAGTTAATCGGGTGTGGATAAATTATCGATTATCTGCACATTGAAACCAATAGGAGGATAGCTTAAGAGTTAATGTACAAACATGCATTCGATCATACACACCGAAATAACATAGTGAATTAAGAGTCTGAGTTACAATGACTAGACAAATGATACAGTGGCCAAATGGGCTTGCCACAGTCCTTACGGCAATTAGAATAACTGATATGGGCTTGACACAGTACTAAACATTACAGTTTGGGTCCCAGAGTGAACATTGACTGTGAGATGCAGGTACATCCAGCTAGTGAGTCCCAAATAAGACGAATTTCACTGTTACTGAGCTTATCTGTAAAATGTACTACTTATGTGCCTATTGAAACATCAAGTTTGATATAGTACATCACTCTTATAATCATTTAGGTTTATAAATCGATATAATGACAGATACTTATGTTCACTCTTTTGGCCTTCTGGGATTTTTTTTTATTTGAAATGGTAGGGGGATTTTTATGGCTTATCGATCATATAGAAAAGAATAATTTAACTGAACTCATAAGAGATTTTTCACTTCTACGTTTTTGTAGGGTTTGATCAACAATGATGATTGTAAAATATGTCTATTGATTATCGATTCATACGTGTATACCCCTAAGAGCCCATTTTCTATTTTCATTTAAGGATAAATGTGGAGAGAACGTTGTGTATAAATAAAAACATTGTTGTTATGACTTTATGTCCGGCTAGTTATCACGTGATTTATCCACCAATCAAAATACGACTTATACAATCTTAGCATTGTGCCAAATCAATGACGTTCAACCGGTATGAGCAGCCTAGCGTTCTTATTGGTCCTATGTTCGCCTAGCTCGTCCACTTGAGTCCACAACACCAATACCAGCTTCCACTATGCGAATCGAATCATTTATTTCAGACATACTGGGTTCATATATCAACCAAACAGACCGCAACGCACCATAAAATAGGAAATAACATTTATACACAATATAGCCAAAAAGTGGTTGTGAACGTGGGAAGCAGTAGTCAATAAACTGAACATAGCTTAAGAACAATAAATCGTACAATAATAATCTATAAATCAAAATAAAGCTTATAACAAGGGGGATATAGATATACATAATCTAATTACTGAATATTTATAGCATGAGAATATATAAATAATATTAGTCCATTAATAAGTCTCAGATGTTACTCGTAATGTAATCTTCACTAGGATATAACAATTTTGGCATCTGAAAATCTATCGTACACTCTTAATTATAGTTAAATAATAATATTTATCGCCTCCAGATGATCTGGTACGGCTGAATGGGGAGAGTCTACACTTCCTCTCGAAATGCTTTCAAATGACCACGCGTATACAGCCACTGCCAGGGAAATCATACTCACTGCCTTCTCGAGGTGAGGTGTTTACGAAACCAAGAGGACAGAAAGTGAATGTCCGGCGCTTTAACCGGGTTGGTGGACACAAAAGGTCCTTGACTCCAAACCAATGGTGCACATAGGTTCCGGGATCCTGA